ATGCAGTACCGTAGTTTCCCTGTTCCGTCGGATGACGACGAATGGGGTTTCGCTTAGAAAGCCTATCAACTTCGAGTCTTACAAAACGAGCCAATGGCAAAGAAATGCCATGGGTCTGCGGAATTTGCATGGTGCAACTCAGCCCCACCTCGTGGGTATAAAAGAAGAACGCCGTCAATATGCAGATGTTTCTTCGCTGAGTAGCCAAGGCTGAGCTCAGGCAATCCCCGCGGTACAGCGGAAGTGGCAGGAAGACGGAACGTCTCAGGGAACGAGGGTTACATACGTAACCGAGACGTTCCCTTTCGTTGTCACTCCGAGTTCCGTCGGATGACGACGAATGGGGTTACCAGTCTAATCACGCCACATTCACAGCTGTCTTCCAGTGCCCTGCGTAAATCTGAGATCCCTGTCGTGAGACTAGCACGGACGAAGGATTCCTATTTAGCACAGCAATACCAAGGAACACTGGGGAGCATATCTCAAGTCAGAGAAGTATGCAATTAATGCCAAACCAGAGGGGGGGTGGGGGGTGGGGGGTGGGGGGGGGGGGGGGGGGGGGGGACTTAGAGAATACACATATGACCCGAAGGAAGCATATGGAAAACACTGGGGTGTCCAGCCGCAGGTGGAATATTTCAACCCCAGGGATGGCAAGGTGGCTTGCCAAGGGAAAGACACACGCTCAGAGAGGCTTACAGTGGAAATACACATGTGGGGGTCGCTCAGGGAGGGACCATGCACACGGGAGGCACCTAGCCGACGCACAGGCAACAGACACTGGCGCCGACGTCAGGAGTGCTGGAGGAACTCAGGGCTTGAGAGGCTCACCTGAGGAGAATATCGCACGTATCCAGTCCGTAGAGTGGAATGGCGACCAAGCGAAGACACCTGAGCGGGTCCTAGTACCGGCTGGTTGAAGCGAGTACACGGGAGGACACAGGCTCCAGGTGTTCGGTGTCGCCCAGCCTGCAGCTCTGCAGATGTCTGTTAGCGAGGCGCCATGCGCTAGAGCCCAAGAGAATGCCACACTCCGCGTGGAGTGGGCAGTCACACCAAGGGGGCACGGTCGAGCTTGCTGCTGGTATGCCAAAGCAATGGCGTCCACTATCCAGTGAGACAGCCTTTGCTTGGAGAGAGCCTTTCCCTTCAGCTTCCCACCATAACAGACAAAGAGCTGGTCTGAGGTCCTAAAACACTGCGTCCTGTCTACGTAGGCACAAAGAGCGCGTACTGGACAGAGCAGTGCCAAGGCTGGGTCTGCCTCCTCCGAGGGCAGCGCTTGCAGGTTCACCACCTGGTCCCGGAAGGGAGTGGTGGGAACCTTGGGCACATATCCAGGCCGGGGTCTCAGGATCACGTGAGAACAGGCCGGCCCGAATTCCAGGCACGCTTCGTCTACAGAAAATGCGTGCAGGTCCCCTACCCTCTTAATGGAGGCCAATGCAACCAGGAGCGCTGTCTTAATTGACAGGAACTTAAGCTCCACTGATTGCAGAGGCTCAAAGGGAGCACTCTGCAGGGCAGTTAGAACCACTGAGAGGTCCCAAGAGGGGACGAGAGGAGGGCGAGGAGGATTCAGTCTCCTCGCTCCTCTCAGGAACCTGATGATCAGGTCGTGCTTTCCCACGGACTTACCTTCAACTTGGTCATGATGTGCGGCGATAGCGGCAACATAAACCTTCAGGGTGGAGGGAGACAGCCTTCGCTCCAACCCTTCTTGCAAGAAGGAAAGCACGACACTGATCGGGCATTTTCTGGGGTCTTCTCGGTGAGAAGAGCACCAGGAGACGAAGAGGTTCCACTTCAACGCATGTCTGGTGGACGATGCTCTAGCGGAAGTGATCGTGGCCACCACCGCTGGTGGTAGGGTACTCAAACCTGCCTCGTCCCGTCCAGGAGCCACACGTGGAGGTTCCAAAGATCGGGACGAGGGTGCCATAGGGTGCCCCGCCCCTGAGAAAGGAGGTCCTTTCCCAGAGGAATTGGCCAGGGAGGTGCTGTCGCGAGGAGTATAAGTTCAGAGAACCAGGTCCGGGTGGGCCAGTGTGGCGCGACCAGAATGACCTGCTCCTCGTCCTCCCTGATCTTGCACAGGGTCTGTGCAAGAAGGTTCACTGGGGGAAACGCATATTTGCGGAGGCCCCGCGGCCAGCTGTGCGCCAGTGCATCCGTGCCGAGCGTGCCCTCGGTCAGGGAGTAAAACAGTTCGCAGTGGTACCAGTCGTGGGAGGCAAACAGATCTACCTGTGCGTCCCCGAACTGATCCCAAATCAGCTGGACCGACTGGGGATGGAGTCTCCATTCTCCAGGAAGAGGCTGAAGTCGTGAGAGCTCGTCGGCTGCACAGTTCAGGTCTCCCGGGATATAAATGGCTCGAAGCGACCTCAGATGCTTCTGACTCCATAAGAGGAGGTGTCGGGCGAGTTGTGACATACGGCGGGAGCGTAGACCACCTTGTCGGTTGATGTACGCTACTGTCGCGGTATTGTCTGAACGGACTAGTACGTGCTGGTTCTTGAGCAACGCATGGAAGCGGTGCAGAGCGAGACGTACTGCCTGCAACTCGAGCCAATTGACATGCCATAGGCGCTGGTGTCCTGTCCAGGAGCCCGCGGCAGCATGTCCATTGCACATGGCACCCCGGCCCGTGGAGGAGGCACCTGTTGAGACAACAACATGCCTGGAAACTCGTTCTAAGGGCACTCCTGCCCGTAGAAAGCTGAGGTTCGTCCACGGGGTGAAGGTATGACGGCAGGTCGGAGTAACTGGTACTCGGAGCGTGCCTTGTTGCCATGCCCACCTCGGGACTCGATCGCAAAGCCAGTGCTGAAGCGGTCTCATATGAAGCAATCCGAGCAGCGTTGCTGCGGCTGTGGATGCCATATGCCCCAGGAGCCTCTGAAAAAGTTTCAGTGGAACCGCACTCTTGCCCTCGAACTGTCTCAGGCAAGTCAGCAGTGACTGCGCGTGCTCGCTCGTAAGCTGTGCGCACATGGCGACCGAGTCGATCTCCATACCGAGAAAAGAGATCCTCTGCACGGGGCAAAGTTTGCTCTTCTCCCAGTTGACCCGAAGGCCCAGACGAGCTAGGTGCCGGAGCACTAGGCCCCTGTGTTTGCAAACCTGGTCTCGAGAGTGAGCTAGGATCAGCCAGTCGTTGAGATAGTTCAGGATGCGAACCCCGTGTAGCCGAAGCGGCACAAGGGCTGCCTCGAGGACCTTCGTGAAGACGCGAGGAGACAGGGCTAGCCCGAATGGGAGAACCGCGTACTGGTATGCCTGCCCCTCGAAAGCAAACAGTGGCGGCACGCAGCTCATCAAAGAGCCCTGGGTCAGTCCTCCCCTTGTGCATGTCCTTGAGCATCTGGGCCTGGTAGACCTGCAGAATGGCCATGGCATGCAAAGAGGCGGCTGCCTGCCCCGCGGCTCTATAGGACTTGGCCACGAGAGTGGACGAAAACCTACAGGCTTTGGAGGGGTGCTTTGGGTCACCACGGGAAGAAGCACTCTGCGGACACAGTTGCATCGCAACAGAGCGTTCCACCATGGGGACCCCAGTGTACCCTTCGGCAGTGGCCTGATCGAGGGGAGTAAAGGCGGAGGAGGTCGCCGAGCGATCATGGGAAGACAAGGGTGTCTTCCAGGACCTCGTGACCTCCTCATGCACCTCCGGGAAGAAAGGAATTGGGGTTGGCCCCCGACGAGAGTCAGCGGCCGCACCCAAAAACCAATCATCAAGCCGCGAGCGCTCGAGACAGGGCAGAGGGTTCCACTCTAACCCGATGCTCGTGGCCGCCCGGGAAAGCATGGCGGCCATCTCGGGATCTGGCTCGGGCAATGCTGGCACACCCGAAGGAGGCAGCACAGCCGAGTCGTCATCTCCCGATGACTCTTGCCCACCTTGTGATGCTGCAATCGACATAGCATCTTCCTCTGGAGCGCCGAATGACACCCGCGGCCCACCCGCGTCATTTGACCGGGAAGACCGCGGGACATCATCCGGACGGCTCACGGGTTGCGACACTGGAGAGGGGGATGTGGCCCGAGGACGAATCGTCGGTTGGTTGTGCCACACCGTCACCCTCAGGTCACCCTGGCCACCAGCCAAAGTACCAGCTCCCGTGGGAACGGTAGATCGGGGTGTGGATGAGGGGACTCTCCCTTTTGCAAGATCATTGAGTCTCAGAATGGCTTAGGGAGTGAAGCATACACTTGGCTCCGAAGCGAAAACATATCTGCATATTGCCGGCGTTTTCCTTTTATACCCACGAGGTGGGGCGGAGTTGCGCCATGCAAATTCCGCAGACCCATGGCATTTCTTTGCGATTGGCTCGTTTTGTAAGACTCGAAGTTGATAGGCTTTCTAAGCGAAACCCCATTCATCGTCATCTGACGGAACTCGGAGTGACAACGAAAGGGAACATTGTTAAACTCTAGGGGATTACATAATGTTATTCACATATGGAGCAAAAACAATGCATTGGCTTCCGTTTTCAGGCTTTCCCACTTAGGTCTCTCCAGTGTTGGAAAGCTTTTCTATTATTAACATGGATCCTAAAGCTTCTGCCTGATCATAACTCTTCTTTTCCTCTAACCATTTCTCTTTTGTAATGTATCCCAGCCATCTCTCTTTCAACAGTCTTTCTTCAAATTGTCCTCTTGCTCACTCTCTCTACTCCTCATCATGAGTGGACACGCCCCTACTGCTGATTGGCTACAAGTGTGTTGTGGTGCTCGGTCAGATCCACTTTCAACAGCGTTTCTCAGAAATTGCTTACTGTACCTTTAAATAAAATATTTTTTAATCAAAACAAGGAACTGATATTTATGTATGTTTTTATAATTATACTGTTTAAAATTACAGCAGCATAAAAAAAGCTGAATAATGACAGGTTTTACTGTGACAATGTACCCCATATTGCCACAAAAGGTCAGCATGTGTTCTCCCTTTTAATTTAACTGGCCCTTTTGATTGACTGCTGTTTTTGCCATTCTAGATTCTCATGATGCAGTTCTGCGTTTTAATGCTGCACCCTCCAAGGGCTATGAAAAAGATGTGGGCAGCAAGACAACCATTCGAATCATAAACTCTCAGTGTAGGAGCCATGTAATGGGAAAGTCATGTGACCAAACTATAATGGGAGTGTCATTAATTAAGAGGGGTTAAAACACCTGTTGTGTGTGTGTGTTCATGAAAGAATGGGGGTGAGTGCTGGAGCACATATTTTGTTGACCGTGCAAACGTGCAAACGTGAAACTTGTACAAAATAAAACAACATGCAAGCTTCATGGATAAACGCGTCACAGAAGTCATTCCTCCACTCAGCTCCTTAGCGGTTTTTGGTTTGTTTTTTATGTGCCGCTACAAGTTAGTCAACAAAATTGTTTGTTTGAGAACGTGAACGCGTCGACTTTGGATTCAAGGAAGAGGCCCTCACGCTTTTACTGGACGGAAAGGATTGGAAGCGCCGCGCTGACTGACAGAGAATCGCCCTGCTCTCGCTTGTTTTAATGAGAAAGATTTGCACATTGGACTTTCAACGCAACAGGACCGATGTCCGTGGATATGTTTGCTGCTAACAACAATCATCGCACAATTGGACGTTCAAAGCAACAGGACCGACGTCTTCGGATATGTTTGCTGCTGTTGAACTGGTAGGACATTGGATTATTACGTCTTTGCTTGTGTTCGCGGATGATTTGAAATGGTCTGGCAGTTTGCGGTTTGTTTACGATTGGTGCTGCGCTGTTGGTGTGTTTGATGGATCGTTGTTTAGATTGTTGGGCTTTTGCGAATCTATTGGAGTTGTGAGACATATCTGATGATATGCGTTGTTTTGGATTGTGTTCGCTTGTTTTGGGAAGCGTCTAAACGTACCGTATTCAGACGCGCTGAGGTGTGCGTGCTTCAATCATGAGTGAGATTGAAACGGGTGCGGATGTTGAACCTGAACAGGACACATGTAAAAGAAAAGTTCAACTCACAGCAAAGGCTTTGGCTTATAAACTTGAGCAACTTCAGAAGGAACGAAAAAGAAATGTAAATGTGATTAAAAGTTCTATACCAGCCATCAAAGAACTCACGCTGAAAAATGAGAACGCAGCTGTACAGTCTGAACTTGAAACTTTGGTGCATACTTTTAAAGAGACAGTCAAGCTTCATGATTCAGTGATCCCATTGTTGCCTACTGACGAACAAATCAAACAAAATGAGTGGTTCTCAAGCATTTATAAATGGTGTGATGCATTTATAAAGGAGACAACGCAATGGATAAATGGAATTGAGAAGTCAATTGTCGATAACCAGGATCAACAGTTGGCAACAGTTGAATGCCCTTCGAATGATTCAAAACGCCAGAATATGTCTCAAATTTCCATGCATAATCAAGATGATATAAAGCCAAGTGACAGTATTTCTAATGTTGGAAGTAAAGGATCAAGTCAAGGATCAAGTCAACGCAATTCTGCCACAAGACGTTCAACTACATCAACAACTTCTTCAGCCCGCATTAAGGCAGAGGCTGATATAGCAGCTTTGTTGGTACGCCAAAAGTTAATGAAGGAAAAACATGCAATTGAAGAAAAGGAACAGAACTTAAGGAAACAGAAAGAGGATTTTGAGTTGCAAATGGAGATTGCTGTAACTATGGCAAAAGTGAAAGTGCTTAAAGGTTCTAGTGTGCATTGTGTTAAAAGTTATGTGACTCATCGGTCCGATGGAATGAATTCCTACTTTGATAAAGGACAACAGGCAACACAGACACTCAACGCTGATGCAAATTCATTTACTCCTAGAGCTGAGACGCAACAAATTGTTTCTTCTAAGGATGGTGGCAATGCAGGTGCCAAGGCAAACAAGGGGAATGTTTCTCAGACAATTTATTCCCAGAACATCTCAAAGTTAAGTAAAACAATTCCGAGTGGTTATGTGAATGCTGGTCCAGGAAATACTGATCAAGTTCTCCATATTATGGATAAACAAAATGAAATTACATCTTTACTGATTCAACAACAGTGTTTGTCATCTTTGCCTAAAAGGGAAATTCAAGTGTTTGATGGAAACCCTCTGCAATATCATGCCTTCATGAAATCCTTTGAAAGTGGTGTGGAGCGTAAAACTGAAAGCCCTAGCGATCGCTTATACTTTCTTGAACAGTATACCAGGGGTCATCCAAAAGAGATTATAAAAAGTTGCCAGCATATGCCTGCCGACCGTGGGTATTTAAGGGCCAAAGGTTTACTACAAGAGCATTTTGGTGACCAGTATATAATTGCATCTACCTATATGGAAAAGGCTCTTTTATGGGCAAATATCAAAAGTGAAGATGTCAGAGCTTTACAGGATTACAGTCTGTTCCTAAGAAGCTGTTGTAACTCCATGGAAGATATTCAGTATTTTCACGAGTTGGATACGCCCTCTAATATGTTGACTGTAGTGAAGAAATTACCATACAAATTGAGGGAAAAATGGAGATCTGAAGTCTGTGAATTGCAGGAAGCTGTCAATCAAAGAGCTACCTTCAGCGACATTGTTAACTTTGTTGAAAGACAAGTAAAAATAATGACTGATCCAGTTTTCGGAGACATACAGGATGGTCCAGCATTAACAGGAAGTAAATTGTTGAACAAAGGCAAGTCTCAGTCTTATCTTAAATCTAAAAGAAGCAGTTTTGCTACTACCGTTACAGCAATGGAAAATAAATCAGAGATTGGAACCAGCAAAAAAGATATCATTTCACCCAGCAACAAGAGTTGTTTGTTTTGTAGACGTGGACATGCTCTGGATAAGTGCCCTCTATTGGAAAAGAGGAGTCATGGTGAGAAGATTACGTTCTTAAAAGAGAATGGTGTTTGTTTTGGCTGTATGTGCACAGGGCACATCAGTAGAGATTGTAGAAATCGCCTTTCATGTAAAGTGTGTAATCTTAGGCACCCAAGTATACTTCACATCTACCCAAGAGAAAAGGAGATCGATTCAAAACCCATCAGGAGACAAATGGACACTGTAATGGGCAGTGTTCCGGAATCTGTTGAGTCCAGTGGATTTATTGGGGCTGGTGAATTTGACTGTAAACTTTCCATAGTTCCTGTACAAGTGAAATGTAAAAAAGGAAATAAGACTGCGATTACTTATGCTTTTCTGGATCAAGGTAGCACTGCAGTATTTTGTACACCTGCACTGATGAACAGACTTGGTCTTTCAGGTAAAAAGACTAATATTCTCTTGCGTACTATGGGACAGGAGAAAGTCACAACTACCCACGTTGTTTCTGGATTAGAGGTGGCTGGTTTGCACAAAGATGACTTTTGGGAGTTGCCTGATGCCTATACACAAAATACCATGCCTGTGCATAGTGGAAACATCCCAAGACAAAAGGATCTAAAGAGATGGCCACATCTGAAACATGTGACTCTACCTGAAATTGACTCTGAGGTTGAATTGCTTATAGGAATCAACGCCCCAAGGGTTATGGAGCCAATTCAAGTGATCTGTAGTGTCAATAATGGACCATATGCAATTAAGACCAGGTTGGGATGGACCGTAAATGGTCCACTAAGAGGAGATGGTGGTGACCAGTCTGCCTTTGAGTATCCTGATGTTACAGTTAACAGGATTTCAGTTTCAAACTTGGGAGAGCTTTGGCAACAACAATTCAAGGTTGATTTTCCTGAGTGTAACAAAAACGAACAAGTTGGGTTTTCAAGAGAAGATCACAAGTTCATTGAGATGGTAAAAGACTCATTAAAGCTTGTAGATGGTCATTATTCAATTGGCTTACCTTTGAGGAAGAAAAATGTTTGTATGCCAGACAACAGAACAATTGCGGAACAGCGTGCTCTGAACCTAAAGAAAAGGTTGAAAAAGGATGTTTCGTTTCATTCTGAATATTCTGTTTTCATGAAAGACCTTATTTCTAAAGGTTACGCAGAGAGAGTGCCAACGGAGGACTTAGGACGTAGCGACGGGAAGGTATGGTACATACCCCATCACGGTGTCCATCACCCACGAAAAGGAAAGCTCCGGGTTGTATTTGACTGTGCTGCTACATTTCGAGGGATGTCTTTGAATACCCAACTGTTACAGGGTCCAGATCTCACCAGTTCATTGATTGGAGTGATATCTAGATTCAGGAAGGAAAGAGTTGTGATCACAGCAGATATTGAAGCCATGTTTCATCAGGTGAGGGTGCCAAAAGATGATGCAGATATGCTGAGATTTCTTTGGTGGCCTGATGGTGACCTTACTCAAAACCTGGTTGAGCATCGTATGGTTGTGCATCTCTTTGGAGCTACTTCATCACCCAGTTGTGCAAATTTTGCCCTCAGAAGGTGTGCTGAAGACAACAAAGACTTCAGCAAGGAAGTAATTGAAGCAATCTTGCATTGTTTTTATGTGGATGACTGTCTGTTGTCAGTAAATTCAGATGAGAAGGCTGTTTCTCTGTATCACGACCTTGTTGCTATTTGTGGGAAAGGAGGTTTTTCATTGACAAAATGGATAAGTAACAATCGAGATGTTCTGGCAAAAATTCCAGAGGAATTAAGAGCAAACAATGTGAAGGATTTGGATTTGGACCAAGATTTACTTCCAGTGGAAAGAGTGCTGGGAGTACAATGGTGCATACAATCTGATGCCTTCAAGTTTAAGATTGTGTTGCAGCAAAGACCTCTGACCAAAAGAGGGATCCTGGCTACCATGAGTTCTGTCTATGATCCTTTAGGAATCTTGTCTCCTGTGATTTTATATGCAAAAAAGATCTTGCAAGATTTGTGCAGGAAGAAACTAGGCTGGGATGAAATTATTCCTGCTTCAAATGCTCAGGAGTGGATCAAGTGGTTGGACGGATTGCGTGAATTGGAAAACTTCAAAATCGATAGATGTTTCAAACCAACGGGTTTCGGAGAAGTGAGCACAGCACAATTACACCACTTTTCCGACGCAAGTGAAGATGGTTATGGAGTAGTTTCGTATCTGCTTTTGCATAATGTTGACTCACAAGCGCACGTCGCCTTTGTAATGGGGAAAGCTAGAGTAGCTCCTTTGAAGCTGGTGTCTATCCCTCGAATGGAACTTACTGCTGCAACACTGGCAAGTCGAATGGATTCAATGTGGAGATTGGAATTGTGCATGGACTTTCAAGACTCTGTCTTCTGGACTGACAGTACTTCTGTACTTAAATATATCAAAAACGAAGTCTCTAGGTACAAAACATTTGTCGCCAACAGAGTTTCCGAAATCCTAAAGGTGTCTCAATCATCACAATGGCGGTATGTGAACACTGCAATTAATCCAGCAGATATAGCTTCTAGAGGGTTGAGAGTGGAATCATTCCTGAAGAACAAGAATTGGGTGCTTGGACCTCAGTTTCTTCTTTCGCCTGAACAGGAGTGGCCAGTTAATCCTATCGACCTGGGGGAATGTTCACTAGATGATCCAGAGATAAAATCAAGTGTCACAGTCAATGCTGTACAAATAGAAGAGAATATGGATGTTACAACATACTTCATCCAGTATTTCTCCTCTTGGACCCTTTTGAAGCAGTCAGTGGCTTGGATCCTCAGATTTAAGCAATTACTCCTCAATCTAAGTCAGAAGAGGAAATCACTGAGTATGTCTTTAATACAAACTTGCATGGACGAAAACCAACAAACACAACATTTGAAAGAGGAAATGGAGAAAATCAAGGCACAATGTGCCAAAAGTGAGCTTTCTGTGGTAGAGCTAAAGAAAGCTGAATTAGAGGTAATTCGTTACTGCCAAAGAAAAAGATACTCTGATGAAATCTCAAGCTTGCAAAAGGGAGAAAATGTGAAAAAGAACAGTCACATTTATAAGCTCAATCCCATCCTTGAAGAAGGTGTTTTAAGAGTCGGTGGACGTTTGAGTAGGGCAGTTATGCCTGAAGAGACAAAACATCCTGCTATACTTGCTAAGGATTTTCACATCTCAGACCTCATTCTTAAACATATACATCAAGAGGTGGGTCATGGTGGTCGAAACTATATGCTATCAAGGTTGCATCAGAGGTACTGGATACCTGGCGCCAGTGGAGCCATAAGGAAGATATTGTCCAAGTGTGTGATCTGCAAGCGTTTGCAAGCAGCTCCAGGGCATCAACAGATGGCAAACCTACCTCTGAATAGAGTTTCTCCAGATAAACCTCCATTTACATACGTCGGAGTCGACTGTTTTGGACCCTTTGAAATTAAGAGCAGGAGAAGTATTGTGAAGAGATACGGAGTTATCTTCACCTGTCTAGCCATTCGTGCTATTCATATTGAAGTGGTACAATCATTGGATACTGATTCCTTTATTAATGCACTACGACGATTTATCGCACGACGTGGACAGGTCTTGGAAATGCAATCTGACAATGGTACAAATTTTCATGGAGCGGAACGCGAGTTAAGGCAAGCTATTGAATGCTGGAACCAATCTCAGATCAACAACATGCTTCTGCAGAAGGGAATAAAGTGGATTTTTAATCCCCCCACTGGTTCACATCACGGAGGCATATGGGAAAGAATGATCAGGTCTGTAAGAAAAGTACTTAATGCCACCTTAAGAACACAAAACCTTGACGAAGAAGGTCTTCATACAGTTCTATGTGAAGCTGAAGCAATTATTAATGGACGTCCCATTACTAAGGAATCTACTGACACAAATGATTTGGAAGCACTGACACCCAATCATTTGCTGCTGTTAAAGACTACCCCATCATTGCCACCAGGGGTCTTTCAAAAGGAGGATATATATGCTCGTCGTCGATGGAAACAGGTGCAATATATATCAGACCTGTTCTGGAAACGATGGACAAAGGAGTACTTGCCTCAACTGCAAGAGCGGCAAAAATGGTCAGCTCCATCTCGCAACTTCGTTCCAGGTGATATCGTGCTTTTGGTTGATGATTCAGCACCACGTAATTCATGGATAACTGGAAAGGTGATTCAGACATTCCCAGATAATCAAGGCTTTGTTCGTCAAGTGAGACTTAAGACCAAGACAAACTGTTTAAATAGACCAGTGACAAAAATCTGCCTTCTGCAAGAGGTGGATATGTGACGTTTTCCTTGAAAGAGAATTACCTTTTAACACAGACATGGACTTATCACACTTATCACATTGACACGCCACATATTTCTCACCTTGCATCGATTTGTAAATTCACTCTGTGCTGACACTGTTATGGACTTTACAAGGACTCAGTACTGAATAATTGATGTATTGTAAATGTGCAAACATTTATGATTGATGTAAAAAAATGTTTTTGTATTTTGAGATCTTGTATTTATAAATGTCTCCTATGTGTATTTAATATAATTATCGATTTATAATAATTAGGGGCTGGTATGTAGGAGCCATGTAATGGGAAAGTCATGTGACCAAACTATAATGGGAGTGTCATTAATTAAGAGGGGTTAAAACACCTGTTGTGTGTGTGTGTTCATGAAAGAATGGGGGTGAGTGCTGGAGCACATATTTTGTTGACCGTGCAAACGTGCAAACGTGAAACTTGTACAAAATAAAACAACATGCAAGCTTCATGGATAAACGCGTCACAGAAGTCATTCCTCCACTCAGCTCCTTAGCGGTTTTTGGTTTGTTTTTTATGTGCCGCTACACTCAGGTTTGGGTCATTTGCATTAATGCACAGAGACACACAAACCTTCACCGTCTGACTCATTCCCTGTCTCCCTGTGTGCAGGGATTAAATGGAGATGTGTTCTTCTTTTTTATCAGATTCTAGCAAACCCCCAACACAGATTCAACAGCAGTTTGATCTATAAGAACATTACCTTGGTAGCCTGGGATCCGGCTCCTTATAAAATTGACCTGCATAAGGTATGAAAATCATATCAGAGGATCAGTCAGGAGTGTTATGCTCTTCAGCCCTGTTAAACTTTGGGTAACGCGTCCTTTTACAGTACAGTACTTACGTGTACTTACAGTGTACTTACCTAGAAAGTAGGGATGCACCGAATCCAGGATTCGGATTCGGCCGAATATTGGGATTTTTAACGGGGTTCGGTTTCTGCCGAACCTCAGAATTTTTTTCCACCGAACCGAACCCTAGGCTTGCACTACGCGCGCTACGTCGAAGTCACCGATCAGTGAATGACATCAAAGTACCGCGTGAACGAATAGAGAGCAGACGGCTCCTTATGCTTTTGAATTGCTCTCGCGGGACTTTGATGTCATAAACTCATCTGTCTGTGCAGCGCCGGTTCAAGTCGAACAAGCCTGTAGTGTAACGCGTTGTGTCAGGAAGAAAAATAGGGATAGCTCACAGCTAAAGTTATTGCAGAGGCCAGACAGACTCACGGAGGCGATTGGCATCTCACAACTCGCACTTTATTCCACAATCGAACTTGTGTAACTGTCTGTCACACGTTCTACCGTCCACAGCGTTACTTAACAAAATAAGGTAAAAATGAGCATCAAACAGAAATAACCCGCATACATGGGCATGTGTTCTAGGCGCACGGCACATACGGCGCGCAGTTCTTAAAGGGGCCACACCTTATTTCCATTCGTTACAGAAGGTGGACCGTTCGAATGCAGTAGGCTGTGAGAAAGTGAAAATGGAACTCGTGAGCAGAAAAAGTGTTGTTTGGCAGTACTTTCAGTGAAAGAAGGCAATTCAAGTCGAGCTACATGTTCAATTTGCAATGCCGATTTGTCTCATGGTGGCAAGGACTCTAAATAGGCTACACAACATCGCCGCTGTTAAAATGCAGGCCAGTGCCTTGCTTATTCTTTTTTTTTTTTTTACAGTTATAAAAGTAAAAGTAGTGTTTATTATTTACAGTAATAAAATAAAATGAAAAATCCACTTTGTTTACTTCATTAATGTGTTTACTATGTTAATGGACTGAGGATGAGAGTAGGATTCGGTATTCGGTTTCGGATTCGGCAGACTCTTAACCAGTGGATTCGGTATTCGGCCGAACCCCACAAATCTGGATTCGGTGCATCCCTACTAGAAAGTACTGGCTAATATAAGGTAAGTACATGGGTTAGGGGTAGGTTTAGGGGTAGGTTCAGGGTTAGTACCTAGTTATTACCCAGTAATTATAGTTACTATAATAAGTACATAGTAAGTACATGGGTAACAGGACTGTAAAAGGAAGCGTTACCAAACTTTGCTTGTGTAGTTTTCTTGCTTGAAATATATATTTGGTGAGGCAGGAGCTGGGTGACTTTGTAGGTATTTAAGTGACATTATCAGTGCACTGGCCAGCAGAGGAATCATTTATAATTATTCGATCCAGGGCTTTGCTTCACTGACTGAGAATCAAATCAAAAAGCGGTGGAGGTAACAAAAATTGCTGATATTTTCGCTAGAGTATAGCCAATTTGAGAGGAATACAAAGATGACGACGAAACAGAGTAGGAATAAAAAAATAAAGAGCCCTAGACTGGGACTAAAATATTTTGCAGTCTGCAACATATGGCTTTTTAATGTTTTTTAAAGTAGTCTCCTAATTCACCAAGGCTGCATTTATTTGATCAAAAATACAGTAAAACCAGCAATACTGTGAAATATTATCGCAATTTAAATGAGCTGGTTTCTGTTGTAATATATATTAAAATAGAATTTATGATGGTAATGCTGAATTTCCAGCATCATTACTCCAGTCTTTCAGAAATAATTTTAAGATCGGTTCTTATTATTATCAATGCTAAAAACAGTTTTAGCTGCTTTTTTTTTTTTTTTTTTTTTGGGGGAAATCATGATACACTGCCATTCAAAAGTTTGGGGTAAGTACGATTTTTAAAAAGGGGGGAAAAAGAAAAAACAGATATTAATACTTTTATTTAGCAAAGGCACATTAAATTGATCACAAAAGACAGTAAAGACATTTATGAAATTAATAGATATTACAAAAAAGTTATATTTATAATAAATGCTGTTCTTTTGAAATTTCTATTCGTTGAATCCTGAAAAACTCAGTTTCCACAAAAATAATAATTATTAATTGTAATATTATTTGACAGTATTGCTGTTCCCTTTCAAGGGAACTTCGAGCTGCGTTTGAGACGCGGTGGGAACGCTCTGCGTGATTACGTCGTAATACACATGTAAAATCAGTCCAATGGAAGCCCGAAACGTCATAGGCGGGTGACGTCATAGACCAGGAAACTATAAAGCACCCCTGAATTCAGACCGCGCCAGCTTCTGTACCTTCAGCAGGCGCTCTCTGTGAAATCTGTCCTTGTCTATTTATTGTTGTTTGTCAAGCCCAATATAGATCACTATCTATCATTATGGCGAGCAAGCAAGATTATAGACGTTGTGTTGTTCCCTGCCCTCGTTACATCACGGGTGGGGACACACATCAGCTTTTTGTTGCTGTTTGGGAGTGGAGCATGCCAACAGTCAGTTTTCGAGGGAGCTGACTGTGAGCATTGCGAGAAGCTGTCCGTGAGGACGCTCCGCTCCCGCCGGGCGCTCTTCGAGGAGGACGGTTCGGTTCGCGTTCCCCGTGCGGGTCTCTCTGTTGCCGAGGCACGGAGACGGCTCGCATTTCTGAGTTTGCAAATGGATCTGACAGCGGGGGTTGGGAGGGGCTCCGCCCTTTCTCAGCTTTCACATGCCAGATCTAGTGTGCTGCGATTTCCAGTTCCGAGGAATTGGTATCGTTAGTGTTTTGTTTAAAAAGAAAGAGAACAAAACAAATAAAAATCTTAAGAAAAAGGCAGATGTTTGAGTTTTCAATGAATAAATAAGTCAGCTCATAACTCTGCTGAATAAAGAGGAGCTTTTTAAAAGGAGGTTTTATCTAGTGCTGTTGCCAGTTAAATATTTACTGGCCAGCTGAACATTATGAGATTGAAAATAAAGAAGAGTTTGTTAGATTAACTGTACTTAAAACAGGAAAACTCTGTATCTCAGCCTCCTCGTCAGGGACTGCGTTTTTTTCCCTATCTCCACACTGAGGTGTCGAGATCGTGGAATAAACCGGTTTGTATTTTATGTGTTTAATCCCCAGATGTCTAACTATAGTAATGTTTGGGTATTAAGTATCATAGTATGACAGTGCCTCGGGTTAAAGAGACACTTGCGAGCTTTCTCTCTCCCGAGTCGGCATCATCGTTATTAACCCCGACGTTACCCACCAGCCTTCTTAAATAATGAATACATTTTTATTAGGCAGCGCTGGTGGGTAAAGTATATAAGGACATGGATGAATGTGAGGGGCGACTCTCTGAGGAGGGTCGCAGCGCTGCCAGTTCGGTTGTTTCCTGCTGGTGGCCACAGAGTGATATATATGTTATATATATAAGTTTTTCTGATATAAAGATAAAGGAAAATAAAGATATAATTATGTCTGTTCTTCTGGACAGTCCGCTTTCAAGAAAACGAAGAAATAAACCATTCAGCGGCGTTCCAGAGGTTTCTTCCTCACCAATCTAATGTTCCTGAGACTGCTGGGCGGGAGCAGTCTCGGCCTATTAAACTCCTCTCAGCACAAAGTGCAAAACAGAGCGTCGCCATTCGGGCTCCTCCGCAATTGAGGGGTACCTGGGTGGCGGTCGCAGTCTAGCCAGTTAGAGACATGCAAGATCTGAGGACTGTTTTATCTCTAAAATAGCTTGGACAAAGAAGAAGCCCTGACGCCGAGGCGATCAGGCTTCTAAGGGTGGTCCCCTCTGGGGTAGGGACGGTCTTGAGAAATCGTTTCTCCTCTGCGCCCTCTGGGGTGCGACTCACTGAGGAGGGTCGCAGCACTGCCAGTTCGGTTTCCCTGCCGGTTCGCCGTTTCAGGGCACCAAGGTGTCCGTGTCCCCAAACGAGCCTTCAAATAAGAAAAAAAGAAGAGCAGTCAGTTCGGTTTCCCTGCCGGTTCGCCTTTCAGGGCGCCGAAGTGCCTGCTTTTTCCAACGATCCTCCGAGGAGGGTCGTAGGAACTAAGCTAGTTAGAGGTAGGCAAGATCTGAGGACTGTCATCATCTCTAATAAAGCTTAGACAAGAAGTCCTGTCGCAAAAAACGAGGCTATCAGGCTTCTGAGGGCTCCTCCGGGGCAGGGGTGGTTTTGAGAAATCGTTTCTCCTCGGCGAACTCTGGGGTGCGACTCTCTGAGGAGGGTCGCAGCGCTGCCAGTTCGGTTGTTCCCTGCCGGTTCGCCGTTCAGGGCACCCAGGTGTCAGCGTCCCCATACGATCCTCCGCGGAGGATCGTAGAACGGTCAGTTCGGTTGTTCCCTGCCGGTTCGCCGCTTCAGGGCACCGTAGTGACTGTTCAACCAAGAGACGGTTTTGAGAAATCGTTTTTCCTCTGAGCCTTCTGGGGTGCAACTCTCTGAGGAGGGTCGCAGCGCTGCCAGTTCGGTTGTTCCCTGCCGGTTTGCCGTTCAGGGCACCGAGGTGTCAGCGTCCCCATGCGATCCTCCGAGGAGGGTTGTAGAATGGTCAGTTCGGTTGTTCCCTGCCGGTTCGCCGCTTCAGGGCGCCGTAGTGACTGTTCAAACAAATCCAGAGGCCAGTCTTGAGAGACTGGTTCCCCTAGTAGAATTTCTGGCAGCGTGGAAACTACTGCCAAATATTTCTCAGTGGGTCCTGCACACTATAGAAAAGGGTTTCAAAATTCAGTTCGGTTCTCGTTCGCCCAGATTTCTAGGGGTCCTCCTCTCATTGGTGGACCCCGAGCAGGCTTTGGTTATGGAGCAGGAAGTACTGTCACTTCTGCAAAAGGAGCTGAGCTTTCGGGGGCGAAGCATACCATTATCGGGTTCTTCCATTCGGCCTAGGTTTATTACCCCACACCTTTACAGTATACGTGGATGCAGCTCTGGCTCTTCTGAGACTCCAGGGCATTCGCGTATTATACTACATCAA